AGAGACAGCAGAGAAAGTGAGAGAAGAGACAGCAGAGAAAGTGAGAGAAGAGACAGCAGAGAAAGTGAGAGAAGAGAGACCGCAGAGAAAGTGGGAGAAGAGAGACAGCAGAGAAAGTGAGAGAAGAGAGACCGCAGAGAAAGTGAGAGAAGAGACAGCAGAGAAAGTGAGAGAAGAGACAGCAGAGAAAGTGAGAGAAGTGACAGCAGATAGAAACAGGGGAGAGCGAGAAGAGAGGGCCAGGTTCCAACCACAAAGTCTGCGTACCAGAGTGTCCGGCCTCTGGAACGCACTGAAACGCAAGCCAGCTGGCTCCCTGCGTTCAGATAGTTCAGCATCCTCTGCTAATATTCACTTACCTCATACCTGCCAGGGGTAGGCAATCTAGGCACTCCAGCTGTTGTGGATGCATGATGGGGTTTGTAATTTTAGCACAGCTGGAGTGCCTAGGTTGCCTACCACTGCTGTATACCATTCTTTCTCTAGGTATCAAAAACCAGAGATGAAACCTTCATGATGACTGTCCCCTGCGCTGTGATTAAGCGAGCTGGGAGTGTGTACTTGTAGCAGCAATGGAGAACATAGATTTATCATTCCCAACACACGCCTTGCCTGCTGCCACAGGAGCAGGTGACAGGGACACTCCCATACTTACTTAAGTCATGTTCACAAACCGCTGAGCTGCCATTGCAAGACAATTCACCAGAACAAGATGAACCCCACCAGGAAAGCATCAGAAGCTGGTCACCCCCCAGCCGGTTGTAATGGACTACAACATCCCGAAAAGCCATCTAGCTGTAAAGTGTACCTATGTGAGCTGTAGACAATCGTTCAGCCTGCCAAAAAGGGTCCTCAAGTGGCAATTGTTCCCCCACTTCCCAGTGCTAGTTGACAATACTCAATGATTGAAAATAGTGGAATGTGATATATTTTAGCCATCCATATGCCATCAATATGTAAATTGTCTAAAGCGAGTCAAACAACATGAAGTCCAAGCATGTCCTTATAGACCAGGAATTCCAACCTTTTGTCATTCATGGTGTCTTTTATAAGTATGCAAAATCTCAAGGCACCCCAAAGTAAAATGGAAAGAAAAACCCTAAATGTGCAACATGTGGCCAACTCCCCATAACTGATCCCAAATCCTTATCCTAGACAGGGGTCTAGTGTGGGTTTTGAAGGGGAACCTCTGGCAAAAAAAAAAAAGATATACAGGTGAAACTCAAATAATTAGAATATCGTGCAAAAGTAATTGCAGTAAGTGCTGCAAAAGGGGCCCAAACCAAGTACTGAGTACATTGGTTTGTACTTTTCAGAGGTCCGATATTGTTCTATGTACAATCCTTGTTTTATTGATTGCATGTAATAATCTACTTTTTTGAGATTGTGGATTTGGGGTTCTTGGGGTTTTCATGAGCTGTAAGCCATAATCATCACAATTATGACAAATCACGGCTTGAATTATCTTGCTTTGCATGTAATGAGTCTATCTCATATATTAGTTTCACCTTTTAAGTTGCATTAGTAAAATAAATGTACTTTGCACGATATTCTAATTATTCGAGTTTCACCTGTATATGACTTGGAGTTGCCCCTTTCACATCAAAAGCCCCCTTCACACCAGAGTCACCCCATTTAACATCAGAAGTCCCACTATACATCCAGAACCCGCCCTTTACATCAGCAGTCCCCCCCCCCCATACATCCAGGAAACTTCCCCTTCACATCAGAGACCCCCCTTATAGATCCAGAACTTCCCCTTCACATCAGGGACCCCCCTATAGATCCAGAACCTCCTCTCCACATCAGAGATCTCCTTATACATCCGGAACCTTCCCTTCACATCAGAGACCACCCCTATAGATCCAGAACTTCCCCTTCACATCAGAAACCCCCCTATACATCCAGGACTTTCCCTTCACATTAGAGTACCCACTAAACCAGTGGTTCTCAACCTCAGGACCCACATTCGTCTTTGGTCATTAAGTCGCGACCCAAGTTGCACTGCAAAGACCCACTTCAAGCCGACACTCGTCACCGGGCAGTATATTTTGAATGGCTACTTGGCCTGGGAACTGACAGTGCTGCGCTAGGGGATAGCTCAGGAGCCTCTCACTTAGAAAAGTGGAAGCCATGTGGGGACCCACTGAACACGGGGTCGCGACCAATTTTTGGGTCGCGACCCACCAGTTGAGAACCAAGGCACTAAACATCTGGAATCTCCTCTTCACCTCAAAAGCCCTCTTGACTCCATTTAGGAAACATGAAGGCAACCCTGATGAAGTTGGAAGGCACCCTGGTTGAGAAAGGCCATTACAAACATCTTGTACATGCACTGTGGTTTTAGAGCACTGAGGTTGTGGATTCAATCCACATGAGAGAGAAAAGAATTGGCAGGAAATACCATCCTGCACGCCACCAGCGCACATCCGATCCCGCTTAAAAGAAGCATACCCTACAGCCAATATCTACGGCTTAGGAGGGTATGCTCCTTGGACCGCCTCTTTGAGGAAGAGGCGGCAAAGCTTAGGGATCGCCTGTGCGCAAGAGGATATAGTAGACGGGTCTTAAAACAGGCCTACAAAAGAGCCAAACATATGCCTCGATGATGTTATCCTGTCCCTTCTCCTTTTGTCTGCTCTTTATAGACCTTTATTACATCCTTTGCCTTTCGCCCAACAATCGTGTAAGGGCTTTTTTTCTTTTTCTTTTTCTTTCATGCAATCTGGTCATTCGGCATTTGAACCTCAATCATGTATGCCCATAAGAACATAGGTTGAATCATGTATGTTTTCTGTTAATGGTGAGGTATTGTGTATGTGGAAAGAGCTTGCTTAAGGGACCATCTATTTTATTTTTATCATTGGCTATGAGCCTTCTTTGCCCCTTTTTTAAAATATATATGAAATAAATAAATATATACTTTTACATTTTTTGGTTGGAGTTGTCATTTCCTGGTGCTTTCAAAACCCCACTTTTTCTTCTCTCAAAAGAATTTATTTTGCATACTACTTACCAGGGGTGTGGCACCTAACATCCAGGTCAAAAACTTTTTTACCTAACCACATGAGAGACAGCATACATCTGTTTTCTCAGTGAGTGTGTGGAATTGTCTGAGATGGTCTGGTTCCCTCCCAAAGAAACCTATCAACTTCCATCCAAACACTCTCTCGTCTCACATTCACATGGCAAGAGCAACGATATAATATGGGAGAAAGGATTGGTGTGAATGGTTCCTGTATTCTTCAGATGTCTTGCTGGCATATAAATATTAAAAAATGAACAACAGCAGGACTGGGAACACAGATGAATGCTGGATCTTGTAGTTCCTTAACAACTGAAGAACAGCATGCATTATAATGTGAATATGTGAGCATTGCAAGTCACAGCCCAACAAGGGAAAGTAACTCATGTTCACCAACAACACTGCTCTGGTATATGCATGTCACTACACGAACCATCCACCCATCCATTCCTTGGGAGGAGAAGAGTTACACCTGATCTCTGAATTGATGGCAGTTGTGAAATGTTTATCATATGAGATGGGAAAAAAAATGTTAAAAAAAAAAAATAATCACCAGCCTATCCCCCCTCATTGACCATAAACATGGCTATGTTTCGTCCATTTTCAGCTGTCTTCTGCAACAGATCAAAGCAACCAACCTTCATTGATTTATACCCTTACATGGGAGACATAGTCAACGCCTGTGTGGATGGATTCAATATTTGGCGATCAACAGCCAGTTGGCACTAAAGTGTCTTATGTAAGAGACAGACTGCGGACTGACACAGGTCGCTTGAACCACGTTAGTTGCTGCAGAACCTCTTGGCAAAGAAATAAAAAGATGAACCAGTCCTTTGGACAGGAGTGACAACTGTACCAAGCAAGGTGGAAGGCTGTCGATTGTAAGGGGCATAGTTATAAAGCAGCAAATCTAACATTCAGCAAACATTCTCTGCAGGTGAATCGTCAGGTGCATGTGTTTAAATGGCAGTGATTGATTCCTCATTAGAGAATGTTTGGTGGCAATGACCACAGACCCCTACATGTATGCGTATGTATAAACACACACTCACACATGTATTTCCTTTATTTACATCGGCAGTTCAAATCTCTCTGCAATGTTTGATCCATGTTGGCAATCGTTTAGCATTATGTTTATTTGGCTATATATATATATTATTGCATGCACAGTACTGATAGATAGATAGATAGATAGATAGATAGATAGATAGATAGAGCATGTGCAACGTGTGAACCAATAACTCCAAATCAATTGATCAAGACGGTCACTACAGATCCCAAGTCCCACCAACAGATATGATCACAGCTCCTTTAACCATCACAGAAACTTGAGCAGCAACTATTGGAATGCTGTATTCCAGCCCAGCCACTATGTCTTGCCTTTTGATCACCAATAAGATGTCAATCACAAAACACAATGACAGCTGCCATCAGCCAGGCCAGCACCCCATCCTCAGGATCCCCCACCATATAGCAGACATCACAAGCAGTTCTCCTCTCTTATGGCACAAGAGTGCTCTTCCACCCTGGCAGCACTCACATAAAACAATGGACTTTCACCATGACACAAGCAGATGCGAGGTGAAAACAGGAACTTGTACTTACTTCATCTTCAGAAAGTCCATAGATCGGCTCAACCACAGTAGTCGCCATGGGGGTCGTAGAATGTGGGTCAGCAGTCCCTGATCATCAATAGAAGTGGGGGGGCTTCCCAGGTCCAGAAAGGAGTGCAAAGAAGGGGGGGATAAAAAAAGGGGATGGTTCCTTTAAGAAGCAAAAGCCAGGCAGGAAGGAAGCAGGATCAGGTCTTGTGGGGGCTCTTTGTCTCCAGCAGGTAATGCAGAGCCCCCCCTAAAAAAAAGTGATCAATCTGCCAAGTCCCGTGTGTCTGGGCTGCAGCCTGTGCTTCTGCTCTCACACAAACCCTGATCCTGATGGAAGGGGAGTGACTAGAGAGCTCTTCCTGCCCTGCACAGGGCTTATTGCAATCAGCTCTAGCAGACAGGAGGCTGCCCCTGCCTAGCAGAGGCGTGGAGAGCATGCATTGCACCCAATGAGCAAGGCAGCCTCTGCTGCTTCAGGGTTCGGTTGTCCTAGCACTTGGCAGGCTCTGATCATCGAGGGTCCCCCAACTTCTGGCCAATCTCTTCCTGCATGTGTGCAAATAGCATTGGCAGCAGCAGCAACCAGGGGATGGCAGTGGTGGCAGCTCAGGGCACTGATCAGTGATACAATGTAGCAAAACAGATCACTGAGCTCAGTTATCCATACCCTGCAATTTTGTAGCCAGTTGTTTCGGTAAACACATCCAACTGAAACATAACAAATGAAATCCTCACTTCCTCCCTTTTTCCTCCTTTAAGGTGGGAAACAAAAAAATACAAATAATGACACATTGGCTTTGCTGTGGCAACAGCGCCACCTAGCGCCGCAGAACGGAAAGGCAAGAGGGGAATCAATCTAATTATTTATCTTAAAGGAGAACTATGACATGAGTGATTTCCACTCATCTCATAGTTCTAAGCCGACCTGTGACAATGAGACTGTCACAGGTCGGCTCAGTAGAACGGGAGGTGAGCGAACACATACCGGATTCCCTCACCTCTCGATCCTGTCACGGCTCTCTGCCGTGACAGGGGGAGGGGCTGCATTCCCCTCTCACCGATCCGATCTGCCAGCGCTGACTGGCGGAACGGACGGGGGAGGGGGCGGGTAGAGCTGGCTCTGCCTCTAGATAGGCAGAGCCAGCTGTCACTCACGCAGCTGGGCGTATCCCGTCAAAAGAGTCGTGATCCGTCCCGGCTGCGGCGTCTCAGTATACCGCGAGCTGTAGCTCGCGGTATACTGAGCTTAGGGTAACGGGGAGGACGCTAGTTTGTGTCCTCCCGTTACCCTTTGGAGAACTATGGGGAAAAACACTGACCCCATAGTTCTCCTTTAAAGGAAATCAAAGCCTGAGAGCAAAAAAAAAAAAATGATATATTGCAGCTTTCTATTTCTTAGGTGTGGTGGCTGCATTCATTTTCACTTTTCAGGGAAAAAAAACATTTTCAGCAAATGCAGAAAATACTTGTTGATCTTGCAAAAAATGCACTGTCCCTGTCCCTTTCTGTGAATTGAATTAAAATAAAAACCAATGTCTTTGCGCTTTTGGGATCAGCTGGGCCGAATTTCCCACAAGGTAACCGAGGCCGGGCCTTGGGCTGGCAGAGAATAGAGGGGCAGCACAGCCGCCTGGCATGGTGCGTTCTCCGCTCTGCTCCATGTAAACACTGAGAAGGGAGAGCTGCACTCCCATCCTTTCCCTCTCAGCTGTCACAGGAGTTCCAGCACAGTACTGTGCTAGAACTCCTGTATTGGAGGTGACAGGTTCAATAAAGGGAACCTTTCACCTCCAAATGCTACCGCACAGCGGCTTGTTAGCTCCTGTGTAATAGCAATAAAGTTAAGTGAAAAAATGTTTACAAAAAATTGATAAAAAGTAAAAAATAATAAAATAATTAAAAAGTAAAAAAAAGTGAAAAATAATAAGAAATAATTAAAATAAAAAAAGTGATAAAGAAGTAAAAAAAAAAAACAAAACAGTTATAAAAGATAAGACAAATACAAATTTAAAAAAGAAAAACAAATTTAAAAAAGTGATAAAAAAAGTAAAAAACAATAAAGAAAAAATTAAAACCAACCCTGCTGCCCCCTGCCATCTGGTTGCCATTCTCCATGGAGAGGGGGGGGGGGGGTGTTTGGCAAGTAGTGGGGTGCATTGAGGAACCCGGCCTTGGAGCAGCAGACAGAGTAAATCCAGTCCTGGGGATCAGGTGTTCTGTATTCTTTCTGTTCTAGCGGGTAACCCTGTAGTTAAAAATCCAGCTATGGCTCTCTTCAATTGGCAGCCCGATTCCCTTCCCAATAGGAGTTTTAAATTGTACTGTTCTGTACAACAAAAAGGGAAATTGCTAAATCATGGAAGACAGTTGTAGGTGGATCCTCACTGTCTTCAATGCAAGACTACTGAGAATGCGTTTGCTGGCCGGAGTGCCGCAAAAAAGGCTTTGGAGATTGATCACACAGGTGGAGGAAGACTGCTGGAGTTAGGAATACTGCTTATTCCACTACAACCAGGCTTAAAAATTGTATCAATGTGGGTTTCACATTTGACTGTTGCACCTTCATTCAACGAGTTCACAAGAACAATGTATTGGTCATCCCAGAACATGGTCGCCATGATCTGGCAGATTTGAATCTCTTTGGAGGAGGAGAGCTTGAATGATGCCGTTCAATACCTTGTCAACAATTTCTATTTCTCCCTTATTAATCTTTCTTACCCAACACCTGGCATTGCTCACATCAATTATTGCACCATAAACATTCTTCTGGCGTGTATGGAGCGCAACGAGGTCAGCCCTCTTTAGTCAGAAACTCAATTGCTGCTCTTTGTTTCAACCACTCATCCATGGTTCACTGGGTACAATTTAAAAACGGAGCACACAATGATTGAGTTAGACCATATGCATAATATGTATCATTTCATTATACGGTCACATGAACACCAGATTAGAAGACAACAGCCATTACGTTTTGATACTCCCTCATATTAGAACACTATGCTTTCATCCTTGGGTCACCTGATGCCTTAAATGCAAACTCAAGTTCTGGGTACACCTGTGGTCAGCTGTCCTTATTCTTTCTATTCAATGCTTACTGGCCTAAAATAGGTGTGGTATCATAATCAGTGGGGGATTGTGCTGTGTGCAAGGTTGTGATGGGGGTGGATGCCACCTAAGGCAACCATGTTAGCCATAACCTGCCCCCCGTCATAGGCTGCCAGGATGCTGATGACTGGCCTGCACTTCATCTTTGGTTGACAGGACACAGGTGGCTAGGCTGCCCAGGAGGCTGTATGCACCATAAGAAGCAATGACTCCAGAGTGCGGTCCAGAGGCTGAGTGGGAGTAGAGCTGAACGTGCACTGACGACAGAGTATCCAGTATAAACCCTCTGCCCTCAGTGCTGTCCCCTGGGGACTTCCATAAGAGCTTCCTTAATTGGCCTCACGGACAGCACAGCTCTGGCTATGAGCTGGGGAAACATTTTCCCCCTCGGCCAGTACTGGTGACCAACATTGTACTGGTGGCCCTAAAAGGAAATACTTCACCATGCAGACATTGATCAGAGGGGATCCTACAATCAGCTACCCACTCCCTGTTCAGACCTCAGATTACATCACCTGGCAGACAGGGGCGGATCCAGAGTCTATTCTCAGGAGGGGCACTGCCAGAAAATTAAGTAGATCCCTGGATCCAGACAAGCCCAGCCTCCTGTCTCCCACGCTGTCAGAAACTGCATACAGCGTGTGCTGGTTACTACCTAAACCGGCACACTGTGTGCAGCTTCTGAGAAGAAATGCTATTAGCATAGCGAGGAAGCCGGCTGCGCATTTTGCATCACTCACGCTACGCTAATAGCGTATCTTCTCAGAAGCTGCACACAGCGCGGCCGTTTAAGTAGTAACCAGCACGCTCTGTAGGCAGCTTCTGACAGCGGGGGAGACGGGAAGCTGGGCTTGTCGGTGGATCCAGGCATCAGGTGAGTATTAAAAAAGAAAAATGTTTTATTTAATGTTCCTGGGGACATGTAGGGCTCATTCACACTGGAATCGGCCGGCACGTACAGCTCCGTGCTGTGTGCACACCCGTATCGGGCAGCTCCCGGGAAGGACAGGTGCTGCGTATGATTAGTATGCAGCCCCTGTCCTCTATGGGTGTATGCAGCCATACACCCCCCTACGCTCACCCGCCCAGCACGTCCGTACGGGTGCATGTTTCCTTGCTTGGACGCAGACAGGATCCATCCTGTCAGCATACGGGTACGCTCACCCGCACCGATGTACAGGACGGGTGAGCGCAGGGCGGCGTACGGCCGCGTAGTCCCATAGAGAAGAATGGGGGCTGTGTGCTAATCACATGCAGCACCTGTCCTGTCCTCTTTTTTCTCTTTTCCTTTTTTCTTTTGGATCTTTCATCCTCTTTTTCTCTATTATTTTCTCCTGATTTTTGTTTCTCCCTTTTCCTTAGCTGTACCTTAAAGGAGAACTATGAGGTGAGTTTTTTTCACTCACCTCATAGTTCTAGCCGACCTGTGACAATGAAACTGTCACAGGTCGGTTCAGTAGATCGGGAGGTGAGCGAACACATACCGGCGTTCGCTCACCTCTCGATCCTGTCACAGCTCTCTGCCGTGACAGGGGGAGGGGCTGGATTCCCCCCTCCCCGCTCCGATCCACCACCGATGACTGGCGGAACGGATGGGGGAGGAGGCGGGTACAGCTCGCTCTGCCTCTAGATAGGCAGAGCCAGCTGTCAGTCACGCAGCTGGGCGGATCCCGGCATAATTGTCGGGATCCGCTTCAGCTGCAGTGCCTCAGTATACCGCGAGCTACAGCTTGCGGTATACTGAGCCTAGGGTGATGGGAGGACGCTAGTTTGAGTCCTCCCGTTACCCTAAGGAGAACTATGGGGAAAAGCCTTAACCCCATAATTCTCCTTTAACCTTCTCGATTTCCATCTGGATTTCCAATGCAATTTTATTGTCGTTCATTATTTTTGATTATATGTTCTATTCCATATTGCTCGTTGTATATTTTTTTGAAAAATTTAATAAAATATTTGAAACAAAAAAAAATGTATTGTCAAATATGCTGCGTGAAAAGAAGCACATAAGGAACATTTAGGTCTATTTCACACAGCTTAGAGCCGGCCCGTACAGATCCACGTGGCCTGCACGGCCGTATCGGGCCACTCCCGGGAAGGACAGGTGCTGCGTGTGATTGTACACAGCAGCCTGTTCTTCTCTATGGGAGTAGGCGACCGTATGCTCAACCGAGATGCACATCCATGCGGGTGCGGGTGTCCCTATTCGTGCGCAGACAGGATTGATCCTGACTGTGTCCGAGCACGGACGCCCCCGCACGGATGTGCAGTTCGGGTGAGCGTACGGCAGCGTAGGCTGCCTCCTCCCATAGAGAAGAACAGGCTGCTGGGTACAATCACACGCAGTACCTGTCCCTCCCGGGAGCGACCCGATACGGCCGTTCACGCTGCATGGATCTGTACGGGGACGGCTCTTATCAGTGTGGATGAGAGCTTAGAGGAGTTTTCTGAAATTTCAATTTCAATTTTGCAAACGTGGAAATACACTTTAAGTTCGCAGAGCTGGTAATGTTTGACTTCTGGAGCCTCCAGGGAGCCTGACACCTCAGATACCAAAGTCCAGCGCTGGAA